TTATCTAACCAGAAACCCTTCTACTGTTTTACCAAACTTCCAATCCAGATAGCCCAGTTTGGTCTACAAGTTACATTACCCACTTTCTTACTGGCTTAACCCAAATACCAGCCTGTGCCCTTTTCTTCTAATTTATTCTGGTGGCCTGGTTGGTATAGTGTTCACCAAACACTCAGTCCTCGTTCAGATTCACAGCTTGTTGGTTGTCTTCTCAGACTTTCCTGAACCATCGAAAGTATATGTTACCTCTCTACTCAGGACTTGCCAAGTGAATTCCTATTTGGAACAAAGTCCAACAGATTTACACAGGTTCCAGGAACTTATTGTGGGTTTACACTGCCTTTTTATCAGTTTGTATTTCTTTTATAACTTCTTTATTACATGAATGCTCCAAGATCTTCTAAGTCTGTACTACCACCTCTAATTAGGTCTTATGAGATAAGCTATCTGTTAGGTGATTATTACCCTTGCACCTATTTGGTCTGACCATTATTACAGGATCTACATTCTAACACCCGAAATAGTCATAAATGCACAAAAGAATTCAATTTTTCATTGTGGTGGGAATTGAACTCTGAATGTGCCACTTGGAGGCAACAACTTAACCACTTCACTAAGTCACTACACCTATTATTATATAATGATAACATATATAACTTAAAGATTTTGAACTAATTTAAGTAATTTTATAAATTATTAGGGTCAGAGTTAAGGTTAGAGTTTAAATTGGCTTAAATTATTTATTATAATCTTGTAATAATTTATATATGTCTACCTATATTAAAGGAGATCCTTTATTTGTTAAACACTTTAAACTAATAATAATTAATATTTTTTAGTAACAAATAGGCAAATAATTAATGATTTAGATTGTGCTTTTTGAACATCTAATTTAAGTAGTTTGCCTATTTCTAGATTTTATATTAGATGCTATAACTATAATCTATCTATTATTTTAGTTATCTAATTAAACTTTTTGATTCAAGTTTTTTATACTAATTTATCAAATCAATCACCTGGAATATGTAATATATTAATCAGTTTAAGTTTCAGGATCATTAAGCTCTACCTATAGGATGATTATTTCTATCACATCTTCGAGTGCATTATTTGCTAAAGCAGTCTAATATCTACTATTACTGTAATATTTAGTTTTTTTTGGTAATATATAACGAGTTCAAAAACAAGTACTTGTGAACTAAAAGCTGCTACCATTACCTACTCAGACTTTATTGAGTTCATTCAAACCTTGGTACCTTCCCTTCAAGACACCCTGGTATCTTTTCTTTTAGTATTCTCTAGTTAGTATCCTCTAACTACCAATTCAGATGACCCAAATAGAATACTAATCTTTTGGTATCTGTATTGCAGATCCTTTTTCTCCAGCATTTTGGCAGCCTATTAGTGAAGTATCTTCTTTTTGAATATCCAGTCTTATATAGTTATGCTAGCCTCAGATGAAACCTATTCTAGTAGTTATCATCAAAGGTTTGTGCTATTTTTCTATTCAGGTCTTGCTAAGTGAGTATACATCTTTTTGATTCACTGGATTTATATAAAGATGAGGTCTTATCTTAGGTTTGTACTGACTAATACTGGCTTGCATGCCTATGTATAACCTATATATTGTACAAATACCACATAATCTTCCAATCTTGTTGGTGTCACCAAAATTATAGAGATTCAATTTCAACTAATCATCAAAGATAGTAGCTATTATACAAGTAAATATTTGAAATTTTATTGTTAGTAGATTTCGAACCTCCAACCTGTTAACATATTGCTTAAGTGTGTGACAACTTAACTAAGTTGTTACACCCATTATAGATTCCTTATTTCTTAATTTATAAAGCAGACAAATTTGTCTACTTATATTTTTAAAAATTTAAATTTTTTAATAAAATTTTAAATATTAATTTTAACAATATACTTTCTAAGCTTTAAAAACCTACTTTATTAACTTTGTTAAAAAATTTTTTATATTTATTAAAAAACTTTTAATTAATTAAAGGTCAAAGTTTGTATAATTTTAACATTTACTATTAAAACTTTTTTTAAGTTTATTAAACTTTTATATATTCCTAAAGCTAGAAAATATTTTGCTTTTAAGACAAGTATTAATTTTTACAAGTAAATTATAAAATTTATAATAATTAAAAGAAAATTACTAAGGGTACATGTAGTATATGGTATACGGGTATTAATTTAAAAATTTGTATAATATGCAAATCAAAATAACTTTTATAAACCGAAAAATTAAACCTACTTCAGGTTAGGGTAAAGGTGCATTTAAAATTGGAGTGTGTTATAGCCTATACCAAAATGTCGCAAAAAATTTTTTTTGTTAAAATCCAAAAGGTGGTTTCATAAGCAAAATTTTGAGATATAGATAATATTTTAGAGAAAGCAATAATTTTATATTACACCTAATTGTGCAATCTGATTGGCTTTCTATATATCCATGTACAAACACCCATGTACAAATAAAAATTGTCTAATTAAAATTATAATTCTTTATTCAAATTATAAAGTTGTATTAGAAACTATAGACTTAAAATTAATATTTAAAAAGTTTGTTATAGATAAACTAAAATATATTTTATTATTAAAAATTATTTTTAAAATTGCATATTTTTAGTTTATATATAACTTAAATTTTTTTTATAATCTAAAAATAAATACTACAAAAAAGTAATTTTGATTTTCAAATATTATTATACTAAATTTTATTTAAATATTTTAAATATTAAAAAAATAAATCAGAAATAATTTATAGTATCTAAGTAGACAAATTTGTATACTAAAATCTACAAATTAAGAGATAATGAATTCAAAAATATTAAAGTTATAGGAAAAGGTAGATTTGTAACAGTTTATTTTGCTATTTGGAGAGTTAAAGCATATAATTAGCCTGTTGCACTTAAATTGCTTATAAAAAATATTAAAAAAACTATATTGATAAGAATTTTTATTTTTATTTTTTTTGGTTTTAAAGTGACCTCTTGATCGCTATTCTTTTATTCGAATATTGTTAACTTTTACAGTATGGTATACACTATACCATATACATATTTGGAGAGTATAACTAGCAACATTTGCAACTTTTGATTGCCTATTCATGTAGACTCTTATTACTAAGTCCTACACTAGCTGCCGTACCTATAACCCTACTGAGTTACCTATTTAAACCTTCTGCACCTATGTACATTAATCCTCTAATGAAGCAAGAGTACATTAGTATCCTCTTATTTTCGGATCCCCAACTTAGAATTTTAAGACAGACCCACCTATAGGGGTTCTTTGTCCTCGAGGTAAACCTGCTAGAGCTTTCCATATCTACAATCCAGCTAATTTAGACTTTGGTAACTTATACCAAGTCTGAGAACAAGTACTTGCAAGCTGAAGCTGCTACCATTATCTACTTCTGCCCTTGTAGAGTTTACTCAGACCCCAGTACATACTTTACAGACAATTACTGCCATTCCTGATCACCAACTGTGCCCAAAACTCCCAATTCAGATTTCCCAGAAGGGACCAATAGACATCCCTTAGTATTCTGATTGAATCTTTTTTTCTTGTATTATACGTAGCCTAGTTGGTATTAGTATTTGCCAAACACCTGGCCCTTGTTCAGTTTGTCATTAGTGTCCAATTGCTGATAACGATCCTTTACATAATACTGTCAAAATTCTATGCTACCTCTTTACTCAGGACTTGCCAAGTGGGCTTTTGTGTACCCAATCCTCTAGATTTATATGGTGCATCACTCATTTCATGTAACTCATACATAACACTACTGTTCCACAATCCTCCCAGTATAAGCTGATACAACCAAGGTTATAGGTGCTGACTCGTCAGATTACATACAGTTTAACATAACACATTTCTTAAATTCTAATTTCGTCGCCAGTAGAATTCGAACTCTTGACCTGCCACTTGGAGGTGTGACAACTTACAAACTACACTAAGTCGCCACACCCTCATTAATAAGAATTTTAAAATTTATATATTGTAAAATTTACTAAAGAAAAATTCAAATAAGAAATTCTAAATTCAAGAATTTTTTGATAAAAATAACTTAATTGATAATCCACCTATGAACTGGAGAATAGGCGAAATGAGACATTTGCCATCTAAAACGTTTTTTCTTACTAAGTTAATGATACATTATTACTAATTGAAAATTGTAGAGCTTGTCGAGACGCATCTAATGGTGGTTAGATCATCCAAATCAGCCCAGTGGATAGCGAGATATCGTCGAAATACGATTGACCGACTATATAAAAATCTGTAACAGAAATTATATATGAAAATCGCTATCAGTGAAATGTGGTGTGCTCCCATCTAAAACTTTTTTTTTACTAAGTTAACAATACATACCCACTAATTGAAAGTTGTAGAGCTTGTCAAAACGCATCTAACAGTGATTAGATCATCCAAATTGGCCTAGTGAATTGTGAGATTTTATTAAAAAATGATTGGCTGACTATATAAAATCTCTATATAAACAAATATTGTTTACATAAAGATTTTATATAGTCGGCCAATCGTTTTTCGATGATATCTCGCCATCCACTAGGCCAATTTGGATGATCTAATCACTGTTAAATACATCTTGACAAGCTCTACAACTTTCAATTAATGGGCATATATCGTTAACTTAGTAAGAAAAAAAGTTTTAGATGGGAGCACATCACGTTTTGCTGATGGTGATTTTCATATGTAATTTCTGTTACAGATTTTTATATAGTCAGCCAATCATATTTCAATGATATTTTGCCATCTACTAGGCCAATTTAAATGATCTAATCACTGTTAGATGCGTTTCGATGAGCTCTACAATTTTCAATTAGTAAGCATGTATCATTAACTTAGTAAGAAAAAAGTTTTAGATGGCAGACATCTCATTTCGCCTATTCTCCAATTCATAGGCAGATTATCAATTAAGCAGAAATCACAACAAAGACTGATTCAATTTTATAATATTCTGTCAAAAAAGTATGACCAAAAGATTAACTAGTTAAAGCAACAACTTAATGAATTATCTAATTTACTTTTTTTCTAACCAATCTTATAATTTTACCTATTTAAACAATCAGTCTTCTATCTTAAATACCAAGATTTAATTCTACAAGTCAAAAAAGAAAAGAGCAATTAGAGCAGCTAATCACAAACACTAAAACCAAAGTTGATAATCTAGAATATATAGTCAATCTACTTCTGAAAATTCAAAAACAAATTAGCAAACTTAAACCTAAAAGTAATAATTATTATCATCTACAAAGACAATTAACTGCCTTTTAAGAGGTTTTAAAATAAACTATTCAAAAATGAATTACAGAATCTTTTCGATAAGCAATCAGATCTTTTTTAATTAGATAAACTTTAATCAGTTTACAAGCTAATGAAGCATCTAACCTTTAATAATATAATCTATTCTTTTTAATTGCAAATACTTTCTTCTTACATTGTAATTTACATAAATAAAGGCAAATTCACATTAAGAAAGTTTATATCAATTCTATCTATCTATCTATTTTTATTTATCTATATTATAAGTTCAATAAATAATTTCATGCAATTCAATTATTTTAGACTTGGTTAAGGCTAAAATATAGATATTTATAAATTAAATAATTATTGTCATAGCTGAAGCTGAAATTTTAAATACTTTAATATAAAATTTTTAAATTTTTTGGGTATATTTTTTAGCTTTTTTTATAGTTAGTTTAGAATTTAGAGTTAATTTTGATATATATAAGTAGATTTTGATAGGATTTATATTTTAAATCAAGGTCTCTAATTTCCAGCTACAGCTGAGATGATTATATTTTTTTACTCTATAAGGGAACCAACACTTATTAGCTGATTATACTCCCTCTGAGATTTTAATTTGACCACTCCAAGGTCAGTCATTTGACAAATATAAATTGTTATATTTGACAAAATTGAATTTGACATATGACAAAATTGAATTTATCACATTTATTGTTGCACATATATAACAAAATCAAATTTATCATGATATTCTAAAATTTATCACATAATAAATTTGATTTTGTCATATTTGTGCAACAATAAATGTGATAAATTCAATTTTGTTACATGCCAAATGCAATTTTGTCATATATAACAATTTATATTTGTCAAATGACTGACCTTGGAGTGGTAAATTAAAATCTCAGAAAGGGTATAATCAGCTAATAAATGTTGGTTTCCTAATGATAAATGATAAGGTATGAGTACAATATTCTATTTCAGAAATAATTAAGTAAGTAGAATCAGTATATTTATTCAACTATAAAAAATTATATTATTTGTAGTGTTAATTGATTAAAATATTTTTTGTTACAATCTTTCGCTAGTTATTAGTAATTATTTTATTAATTCATTAAAAATCTGATACAGAAAAAACAAATTGTCAAGAAATTGAAAAAACAGACATATAAATCTAAAATAGAACACCCTTAGACATGCTAAAAATCTTAAGTAATGCTTAACATTAGTATTGTTCTTTATACTCTTAAGGATCGATCAATTGATTGATTAACTATAATAGTTGATGTCTAAAAAATTATATTATTTTGTATAACTAAGCTTCTAAAATTTGATTTAACAATTTGAACCTTGGCTCAGATCTGTAAAGCACAATTTTTTGTATATATAGATAAAAATTTTTTCTAAAAATATTGTGATTATTAAAATTATGTGATATATAAAAGAATATTTCTATTTGTACACTATGTGTATATACACAGGTAATAAGAAAGCCAATCAGATTACATGATCAGGTGTAACACAAAATTATTGCTTTTTTTAAAAAATCGATTATAACTCAAAATTTTATTTATAAAACAACCTTTCGGGTATTAATAAAAAAAATTCCTTGCAAAATTTTGGCATAAACTATCCCCTGCCATCATCCCCAGTTCACCCTTATCCTAACCTTTAATGGTACTCAATTTTTTGTTTTATAGAATTATTTTGATTTGTATATTACACAAATTTGCAAATTAATACCCGTGTATATATACTTAATGGTACTCAATTTTTTGTTTTATAGAATTATTTTGATTTGTATATTACACAAATTTGCAAATTAATACCCGTGTATATATACTATGTATAAACTAAGAAATTTTCTATATAAAATTATATAACTATTCTTAATAATAAATATATTGCACAGTGCATTAAATCAAAATATTAATAAGCAAGTATAGAATTAACTAATTGAATTCAAACAAAATATTTAATTTTATTATAGTTTTATAAGCAATTTATAATTTAGAAGACAATCAACTAATTATACAATCTATATAATTAAATTATAAATATTTAATACTAGCAAAATTACATAAATGATTAGATAAGATCTACAAAATCTGTCTCTATAAAAGAGATTATCAAAAACTAGGAATGGGTTCAGTCAGATTATTATTGACCAGTCAAGAGGTAGTTAGCCAACCAGTCAAAATTATAACTAATGCCAGATTTTTAATATTTTGGCTAATAAATAAGTACTTGTTATTGGTTATATTATAGATAATAACTGTCACGGCTAATGCTAGAAATGGCTGAAGCGGAAAATCAGAGACCCTGATTTAAAAATATAAACCCTGCCAAAATCTACTTATATTATTTCATTATCAAAACTAACCCTAAATCCTAATTTAACCATAAAAAAAAAAGCTAAAAAAATGCATCCCAAAAAAATTAAAAATTTCATATCAAAATATTTAAAATTTCCAGCTTCAGCTATTTCCAGCTTCAGCTACAACAATAACTAATTATTTATTAGAATACTGTTGATACTGTCTTATAATGAGATCTTTGACTATATTATAAAAACAGTATCCTAGTGAATAATCAGTTATCATTCACAATATGACCAATAATATAAAATATTGGTTATGCAATGATTAATATCATGAAATTTGTTTTGTCAAAGCAAATGATTGGTTGACATATGCTGTATAACAGCACATTTAATCTAATCATTTGCTTTGACTAAACAAATTTTGTGATAGTTATTATCACATAATCCAATATTGATGTTATTATGCAATTTTTACGAGTTGTGGTTGGCTAACTAAGTTTTAATTTAGGATTGTTGTACTTATGTAATAACATATAAAAAATAACAAAAAGAAAAAAATCTATGATCATAAGAGTTTGCATAATAACAAGTACTTATTGTAGTATGAACTCATAAAATTATATTAACAGATCTGCATTATTTGATAAATAGAAAAACCCATCGTTTATAATTTTAGTCAAATTTTGCAGATTATTTAGTTAGATCTAGAACAAACAATTTTAAATTTGGTAAAATGATATGCAATTTTGGTGATCAATCATCCAAAAAAGTTTCAAAAATTATGTATTAGCAAGAGATTAATTGATTTAATAAGTGATTCTTTTAAAAGCATAAAATCAAATAATCACAATATTCTAAAAATATACATTGATTGCTATAACCAATTTTTACTAATAATAAATGAAAAAGGAATAAAAATCACAGAAAATCTTGCAGATTTTATATTTAATGCTTATCTAGAAGATTATAACTCTGAATATTTATTTAAGCAACAAAAAAATTATTAAAGAAATATAATGAATCCAAATAATTTCAAATAGCTTGATAGTATTAATTAAAACTATGAGTTATTGTATAAATTAGAGAATTATAATTATTTTAAAAGATAATGAAATATTCCAAATACTTAGAAAACCATAATCACAATACTTTCTGGCTGTATATTTATTAAGTTTATTTAAAATAAATAAAAAGATTAATTTATTCCTTATCATTATTATTTGTTAGATTATAAATTTATTTTTGTTTGTATTTTTGTTCAAGTTAAATAAAATTTTGCTGCTCAATAAATTTGGTAAAACATTTTAGATAGCATTTTACCTTGGTCAATTTTCTATAATTATAAATTAATAGTTTTTTTTGTAATTGAATATCTATTTAGTTACTAACTAAATCCCATTTTGATATAAACTTTAATTAAGCACCACAAAGTAAATAGTAATAAATAATGTTTCTAGAATTAACTGCAATTATTGCTTTGTAATACTAAAAATTATTCAAGTTGAATACAGATCAAAAAAGCACTTAAAGCAGTGATATATTAGTACATAACAATAATATGTAATACAAAAAATTAACTTTAAATTTAATATAAGTCATTATTTCATTTTGTTGAAGGAACTATCAGAGGTTAATAAGTCTAGTATCACTGCACTAAAAAATTTCGCTAAATATATAATCTTATTAAAAAAAACTGATTTGCAATTAGTTTAAGGTTAGGGTTCCACCAGTAGATTAAAGAGTATATTTATAGTAAAATTTCACAAAAAATTTTTTTTAGTATGCAGAAAGTGCTTTCATAGACAAAATTTTGAGCTATGAGCATTTGTTTTTGCACTTCTTTTTATTACACAAAATCTTAAAACTGATTGGCTAGTAAAATTAATTAGGGTGGTGATTTAACTGCTATTCTAAGGGGTGGATGATGTTAACTGTAAGATCAACTTTAACTGCCTAAGAGTGTTTTTAAATGCCTTCATCAATGGGTCAAAAAGTGTTAATGAATAAATTTTACTTAGCGGAAAATATTTTAAAGAATAAAAAGTGTTATCAATATAATAAATATTTAAATAAACATTGCAATTTAATAAAGTTTATTACATAATTAATATATTTTTCAGCAATTGTTTTTATACATCAGTTTGTGTAACTTTATGTACATCAAATCTGGTTCAGCCAATAAAATTGCACAATTTTGATACATCACTTTTTATACCTTAAATCATTTAAAAATTAAATTTTTTAAAAACTTTGAGCAATGATATCTTAGGAACTATCTAAGCAAATTCGATGAATTTTTTTATTTTAATTTCAGAGATCTTTAAAATTAAAAAAAAAAAAAAGTTCATCAAATTTGCTTAGGTAGTTGTCGAGATATCTTTGCACAAATTTAGTAGAAATTCAAAACACCTATAATAAAGAAGCAGTAAACTATTTAAAAAATTGAGCAAAGATATCTTGACAACTACTTAAGCAAATTTGATGAACCTTTTTTTGTTTTAATTCTAGATATTTCTAGAATTAAAAGAAAAAAAAGTTCATCAAATTTACTTAGGTAGTTGTTGAGATATCTTCGCTCAAAGTTAGCAGAAACTCAAACTGCCTATAATAAAGAAGTAAAAAATCTTTGAGTGAAGATATCTTAAAAACTACTTAAGCAAATTCAATAAACATTTTTTGTTTTAATTCTAGAGATTTGTAGAAT